ACGTTGCAATGTTTACAAGCTTTACACGTTTTCCGCAGTTTGAAAAACTGAATGAGCAATTTCAGACATTACAGACATTTCAGTTGTACTGTAGGCTCTCTTATAAAATAGCCTACCTTTTGATGTTAATTCATGTTCATTATGTAGCTACTATAGTAGTAAAGGGAACGTTAATGGGTTCACTTGCCGCTTGAACTGAGGCGCTAAAGCAATCGCGCCTGCCGCATTAAAGAGCCTCAAAGTCGCATTTACTGTTTGAATTTCGTTATGAATTTGGCATTATTTTAAAGCTGATACTTTGTTTATTAAAAAGTAACAAAGCACAAAGCTTTTTGCGATTACTGGACGGCCAGTGCGCTTCAAATAATATGAAGTTCATGCATTAACGGAACACAGCATATAGACTAAGATCTTGATGAGAAGAAGCCATATTAGTAATGATTATAAATGAGAATTGTTAACGATATTGCCAATATCCACACAGCTGACAGCTTTACCTGTTGTAGTTTGTTCAAGTTGTGCACGAAATAGACACTGCTTTTCTACACTTTTCCTTCGCATGTCTCCGTCATTTCGATCTCTCTCTCGTGCTGCACAACTGAGCTGCGTTTAGCAGGTGTGCCGTTATCGCTGGTGTTCGGCAGAGACGAGGACTGTTTGAAACTCTTTTTTCGTCTCAGTTTAATACGTCAACATAAAAGATGTGATCGCAAAATTATCAGGAAAAAGGCATTACATGCAAATTTTTAAGTTGTAACATGTAAATATATACAGTTGACAGTGGCGACCTTAGCAAAAACTTAACTCGCAAATTAATATTTTTGGTAGCAAATGTGACCGTTTTAGTCTGAGTCTGTCCATCTGTCAACAGCCTTTGCAGATCAGATGCTGTCTATGTAAGGAGCTTACTAGGTTTTAGCCAAAAAAAAAACAAACAAAGAAAAGTGATCAATATTGTCAATATCTCACAAAGGCTGGCAGTCCATTTAACACCACCAGTTCAGTCATATCAATATTTATTTATTATTAAAAAAAAGAAAGTAAATTGACAAAGTCAATACCTCATGGTTATTTAATATTACCATACCCCCCCCCCCCCCCCCCCCCCCCCCACGCTCACCGTC